GTGTGTGTGTGTGTGTGTGTGTGTGTGCTGTGTGTGTTTTATTGCATAACTAAGAAGCTCTATATGCCTAACATGTCGTTCTATTACCCCTTTCTCATAATAAGCGGAAAGTTCTTTAAACGCCCTCAACTGAAGGTTGTTTGGATCTGTCAACGATTTGGAGGTTAACCTTTTGAATACTTTTGTACTTTACGATGCAGACGTTTTGAAAACTCACGTATTCAGTTTACAAAAAGAACATTTTCAAATTTTATCCAAATAAGCTTATTGAACGTTGGTAAAGGACTCTAGCCTCTCGAAGCTTAAATATAATATTTTATTTTATTTCAAAATATTTTTTTTAACTTCAAGAGAAACTTATAATTTATTGAAGCGAAAGAACATGAGAGACCAAAAAACAATGTTTGTCTCTTGTTTTATTTTAAGATCAGTGCAAATATTTTTGTTCCAAATAATTTATAAACTTGAAAATCCGGTGAAATGTATACGGATATCGTATGCACGTTCCTTATTATGCTTCATTTATAGTAAATCATATAAATAGATCTAGTTGTTTTTGTGTGTTTTTTTTTCGTTTTCTTTTAAAGTACGGAATTATATCTATACTTGTCAAAAAGTTGTCGTCTTTCTTGAAATTTAAAATGATTTTCTTTGACCTGATAGAATGATACCCTTTTTGACAGCTTGAAAAAAGAAGAAGAAAAAAACTACAAAAATAAGCAAAAAAACCAAAAACAACAACAAACAAAACAAAACAAAACATGGAAAGACATTTCAATGATCAAACGTTTCTTTTCAGAAAAGATTGTAAAGTTTGCACGAATGGCTACATAAAGAAGCACCGCCGCAAGTTGCGGTTGGCGGTTGGCTTTGTTCAGAAATGTATTCACAACATGTGTTTTTATTGAGTCTTGTCCTGTTGTTCGCTTTTGGATCAGGTGATGTTCGTCATCGGCGGCTGGAGTGGGGGCGCCCCGACCAACATGGTGGAAACGTACGACACTCGAGCTGACAGATGGGTGGTCTGCTCCGTTGCCGACACAGGTAAGCGGAGGAGGCAACGTTACACGAATAGTTCATGACGTCGGAAAGCATACATGTTCCCCCCCTGAAACATAAAACGCATTACGCCAAGCATAAATGCCCCTACCCCCCCCCCCCCCACCCTCCCTGCTCCTTTTCTTCTCCAGCTTTTAACAAGTAACGTTTATGATAGAAGGCGGTGAACGCCAGAACCTGGTGACCTGACAGCAATTGTGTAGACTCGGCTTTTCGGGAGGGGGGAGGGAGGGTGGTCGTTACAAAGCAGAAAATGATGTGAATTTTTTTTTCTTCTTATTTCTATGGATTAGAAACAAACAGACGGAAAATAAAAGACAACATATAAGTAGCAACACTCAAATAATGATTTAATAATCTGGGAGAGAGAGGTTTTTTTTGGTGTTTTTTTTTGTAAGTATCTTACGGCGCTTGCAACTGCGTAAGGTCATATGAGCGCGAGCGGTACATTTAACATTTTCAGTTGTAAGGAAATTTTGAATTTTGCCCCGGTGGCAGCCAAAGCTTACTCCTGTCGATCTTGAACCACCAAGGGATCTCTAACGAGCACAACAATTGTAAAAGCAAGATCTAAGGCCAAGTAGTAGCACTAAAACACTAAACAAAAGAAAAAGAAAAGAAAACGGAACCGCATAAAGACCCGCTTGAAAAATATTGTTATGGACATATTATAACATTTTGCGAATGACATGAATTCGTGGATTTATTTTTAGAAGTCGCAAAGAATCACAAATTCAAGTATCGTTCCGAAAAAACAAAAGTCAGTCGTACAGTTTTCCAACGCCTTTCACGGGGACTTTGAGCTCTTTCTGATTATAGATGTGTTGAATGTGCTTCGGCTACAATGGACCTGTTCATCTCGTTTGCTTTTTTGGAAATGTTCTCTTCCCCGGTGTTAAGGTGAACATAAACGGAACAACGTAATCAATAATATTAATAAGCATAAAAACTTAACTCTACGACCCAGAACGGACCTATCCCCCCCTCGTCTTTTTTTTTGGGGGGGGGGGGTAGTGATTATATCCGGTTGAAGTTGAAGTTTGTTTAGACAATCTTATATTCTATAACTGTGCAGGATGTAATAATAATAATAACAATCATAATAATAATAATAATAAAAATAAAAATAATAATAATAATAATAATAATATTAATAATAATAATAATTATCATAAATTACATTTATATAGCGCATTTCCACAAAGAAGCGTTCAATGCGCTGTACAATAATACAAAGAACATAATATGCAGAGCACAGCTCCTATAGTAATCCTCTTTCTCTCTCTCTCAGTCAGTCTCTGTCTCTGTCTCTATCATCTATGGTCTCTATATATATCTCTCTCTTCTCTCTCTTTTATTCTCCCTCTCCCCCCCTCTCTCTCTCTCTCTCTCTCTCTCTCTCTCTCTCTCTCTCTGTGTCTGTCTCTCCAGTACATCCTGGAGTAAAGACAATCCCACAAAGCTTACCCAGACACCCTCGCACACATTGATGAATGCACACAGTCATAAATTCTTACAGAACAGTACTGCATGAATAAACAATACTGAGAGAACATGATAGATACTGAGAGAGCATAATAATATTTGTATTGGGAATGTCGGAAATTAAAGATTGAAGCTGGACTGAAACCAAACCGTTTTAAGGATGTAATAGAAACTTGGTTTTCCTGTATACTTCTTTCCGACGAAGTAAACTTTTTCTCCGTTTTAAATTCCTTTACTCAAAGGGATTTATCATACTAAGATGAGTAATGGTGAAAAGAAGAGCAGCATATCTGAAGAAAATGTAACATCTTCTCTTGCCTCGGATATTTGGGGCCATTCCTTGTTTTCTGATGTAAAAATCTCCTCAAAGCAACGGGATATTTAGGTCCCCAGCCTCCACGGTGAGCTGTTCTTGACTGACTTGTCTACCGTCAGTTGTCAAAATCAATCACGAGAGACAGTGTTGAGCTAAAGGGGCCTGTATTGTTATTTTCTTCTAGTCCCACTTTATTCACATGGAGATCTCTGCACTGAAATTCCCAATTTCAAAAATTGACAGCTCTCCATTATTTTTTTTAGTAGAATATGAGATACAATGATGATTATGATGATGACGATGATGATTTTTTTGTTTCCTTAATGTGCCTGGCGGACTCCACGAAGAAATCTTCAAGGGAGAGCGAAGCTCTTTTTCGGCTCCATTGTCAATATGCTTAGCGGCACCTCCACTCCAAATAACTCCATTCGAATTGCCATTGTTCCTGGACATTCAAACATGTTTGACATCCTCCTTTTAATGGCCGCATCTTCGGCAACGTGGGTTGAGCTCTTCATTTACAAAGTTCTTATACTTATACCATCTCAAGCTCCAATGATGGTCCGACCGCAGTCTCGCTAGCTCAACCTGGTCCAGCGACATGTGATATTTTGTTCCCGCTTATAAGAGTACCAAGAATACACATCTTCCAGGTGCTGGTACTTAGCTCTGTATGGTGGGTCTCTGATTTCCCTCTTGATCATTGGAAAGACTTCTCTGTATGTTGTTGGCCGTCTATCTCCTTCAATCTCTCTGGCTTCATTAGCAGCTTGGTCTGCTGCCTCATTTCCTTCTATTCCAACATGGCATGGAATCCATTGGATTTTTATTGTGTCTGTGGCTCCACTGAACTTGCGGCGCAAATCATTTATGGCCGAACTGTTGCCTAGCAGTCCCTTACAAAATGACTGACTCAGTCAAGACCAGCACATTGGGTCTACTGTGGCAACTGTCAGCAATCCATTGTGCAGCAGACATCATTGCCTGGCATTTCCCGTCATAAGATGATTTATGTTCGTGGTGGTTCATCATTCATTATCACCATTGCTGCTGCTCCACCTTCGCGGTATCCTGCGACAGCCGATCCATCGGTGAAAATTGTCACATCGGCATCAACCTCTTTGATCACATCCTCAGCTGCTTCACGTGCCTTTACAGGATCATCACCTTTTCCTTTTACTCCTCTCAGTTCTGTCCGAATTTCGATTTCGCTATGGGTCTCCCATGGACAAGCTCTCACCAGATTGATCGGCCATCGATTCTCTACTTCAGGGAGGAAGGTGGTCTGCTAGGTCGGTGCCCATCCGAAACCAATTTTTCCTGCTGTTTTTAGGCTTGACTGCTTGATCAAGGGCTTTCTTTCTAGGATGGTTGTCTGGTAATCTCTTAGCCATCTCTACAGACTTCAAGATTGTTCTTTTTGTATAGGTGGTGTGGTGCTCAGTTCTGGTCTCACAGCGCAGCGCTTCTGTTGGTGTTGTTTTCAGCCGACCTGATACAAGTCGGAGGGTTTTGTTTTGTATTCTGCCCAGGGCCTTTGCACTAGTCTCACTCAGCAAAGGCTGCGACGCTGGCGCAGCATAATCCAACTTGCTTTTCACAAATATCTGATATACTTTCTTGAGCGACTCCTTACCCCAGCCCCATTTTGAGTTGCTGACATCACCGATAATCTTCATTTTAGAGATTGCACTTTTGGACACCTCCTCAATGTGCTTGTTGAAGGTTAGCTGTCTATCCAGGTAGACGCCCAGCAGCAATGGAGTGGGGTTGAATGGTATCTGTTTCCCTTCGATCTGAAGTATTGGTTGCCTTGTTGCCTCCTTCACCCATGTTGAGAAGAAGCACACTTCACTCTTGGTTGCATTCAAGGTAAGCTTCCATTCATTGCTCCATTTCACAGCCATATCCACAATCAACTGTGTCGCTTCATTTGCATTTTCTCTCTATGCGTGACTGGCCAGTATTGTGCAGTCATCAGCGAACATTGAGTAGATCAGCTTGGCGGAGGTTAATTGTTGTGAGTCAGGGTTGGGAGGGATTCTGCCAGGTTGTTTATGAAGAATATTAACAGCAGCGGTGATAGTACAGCTCCTTGGGGAAGCCCTTGCTTGAAATTCTGGCTCTTGCTTGTTTCTCTATTCAGGCGAATTATTGATGATGATAATGATGATGATGATGATGATGATGATTATATTTCTTGTAGGGAGGGGCTTGCAGCTTCAATCCCACCTGATTCTCTTCACCATGAAGTTACTTCTCTGACAAATATCAAAACAAAACGTTTCTCAAAAAAGGGAAAAAAAGAAAATTTTAAAAATTGAAACGTAATGTTTCATAATGTATTCCGAAAAAAGCGAAGCTCCACCAACACCCAAACGAAACTGACGAGGTACAATAGCTCGAAAGTGATCTCATTGGTCTGTGTGTCTACCACCATTTACTACGACTGTAGCTCGATCCAAACTGGCACTTCTTCCGTTGGGGAGAATGAAATTTCACGGGTTTGTCCTTTAAGCCCGACACTTAATTTACTAATAACACTGGGGCACTTACCTAGCATGTCTCAATGCCGAGACAAAAAAACTGATGGTTCTATTAGGCTCGGGGACTGAAGCCAATTTGTGGGACATGCCTTGGCATGGCTTGATTCTTGACCTAGTTTGCACACCCTCGTGGCTCCAGACCAAGGAGTAGACCGAGCACACTCTACCTCACCCCCCACCCCCTCAGCTCCGTGTGTTTTCTTTAGTTAACAGATGATGTTACTACACTTAGATCGTGAGTGTAGGACCTACACTTGAATGAAGTTTTGAGTGTGTTAACTGTGTACTGTGTACACTTGTGTTCAGACAAACAATGAAACAAGCACCTTTTGTGCTGTATTAGTGAGTTGAGGTAGTTTTGAATTGGGATCTAATGTTTGTTTTTCAATGCAGCAGTTTATTGCGTAGAATACAAACGGGAAGTTTGCTTTCGTTCTTAATTACGTGACGCTAAGCTAACTGTCAAGAGACTAGAACCACACCAAGCACCAGAATTTTAGCAACCTGCTGTGGATGGAAAGCAAAAGTGATATTTTAATCATGAATAGTTCATCAAGAGGGATCATGAACAGTTCATCAGGAGGGATGCATCGTTCAACCAAAAAGAACTACCGTCAAATTTGCTCAACAAACAAATCCGAAGGACACAATGTATGTACAGAGTGTCTAAAAAAAGAGCACCCACCTAAAGGGAAATAACTTGGTCTTTAGTGTACTAATTTTAGCAACACCTCGAACAAATACAATCCAAAGAGGAGTCCATTATATTTCTAAATATGAAGAAAATACATTAATCCCTGTGTGACATGTCCAGCTAAAACAATTCAACCTACTATAGGTAAAAAGCCAAATTTCACTTTTCAGTTTTTAGAAACGCTCAGCTAAAGGGACGTGATGGCCCCGTTCTGGTTTTAGGACAAGGACGGTAAGACGGTAAAACAACGACAGTAACAACAGATGGTTACCTTATCATTCTGAGAAAGTTTGTAGAAATTTGGGGAGGAGAAGGTGTTACGCAGGGGGCCTGGTTCCAGTAGGACGGGGCCACACCCCAAATGTCTAGTGTGGCCCTTGTGTGGTTGTAAGAAAGGTTTGGGGAACGCCTTAAAGGTCGAAAATTTACAAATGAACCGCCACCAAATTCCTCTAATATTGACCCCTTTAAATTATTACCTTTGGGTTTCTAAACAGGGTCTACAGAAACAAGCCACAAACGATCAAACAGTTGAAACTCATTGTTGAACAGGACATTCAAAGATCCTACCCCAAAACACGTCACGGTATTATTCAAAATTTCGAGTCGTGTATTGGAGCTTGCAGGGAGAGAAATGGTCAATTTCTAGAGATTTAAGTAGCCGTCAGCACCCTGGGTTTATTTGGCAATATAGTTGGGTTCTTTTCTTAAATTTTTCTCCCATGCACAAACAATGGCTATTTGAAATAGATCAGGGCGGTTTGTTTTCAAGAAGTTGTTAAGTTTTGAATTTCACTCAGTTTTGGTTTAAAAAAAACCAACAAAAAAAAACCTTGACTATTTCTCAAACATGGGGATTGATTTGTTTTATTTTGACAAATGTAATGTTCCCCTGGTTGATTTTATTTCTCAAAAGATTCGTTGAAACTGGTCTAAAGATGACCGAGTTATTGCCCTTTAAATGGGTCCTCCTTTTTAGATACCTGGCACATGCGCAAAGCCAGAGCTGTTAAAGTACTTTTTAAAAAGTATTTAAGTACAAATGTAAGTACAATCTAAAAATGTACTCAAGTACAGTAAAAGTACTTTCCTGTGAAATGTACTTGAGTACAAGTACTTTTAAAAAGAGTACTTATGAGTACATTTTGAGTACTTTCTGCTAATATGCTAAAACACTTCAGCGCTTATGCAAAACATCATAATAACATATCCAGTATATTTGACAAATTATTACTAAAAATTTAAACAGTATTATACAAAGCATTTGAATATACAATGTACGCTCTGAACGAAGGTGGAAATGAAATTGCAAAAAAACAACAACCCCAAACGAACAGACGCAACTAGTGGGTAAATGATAATATGAATAGAACTTCTTTGAGCGAGACAATGTGATCAAATGTAAGTCAGTCCAAGAGGTCGGAAAGTTCTATTATTTGTATTGCCACTAACAAGATTGAAATGATTTTGAATCTGTTAATATCCTCACGTTACCTTTTCTTGCGTTTGTTTTACTGTCTTGTCAGTTATTATGCATCCTATATAATCTGAGTGATCTCAATGTTTGGTCACGGGAAGCCCCATCCGATGTCACTGGGGTTTGGGACTGCTGTAGCGTTTGCACTGAGACAAAGTTGAAAGTGTACAAAGCTGTTGTCCTCCCGACCCCGTTTTTTAGGGCTCAAGAGTTGAGCAGTGCACCAAAGTCATGCCAAGAAGCTGAAATATTTTCATATGAAATGCCTTAGGAGAAGTCTTGGCATCAAATGGTTGGATAAAATACCAGACACCGAAGTTCTCAAAAGGGCAAATGCAAAGAGTCTGTTTTCTAAGCTCAGAAGGACTCAGCTTCGCAGGACTGGCCATGTTGTAAGAATGCCAGATTTCAGAATCCCAAAAGGCAGTATTCTATTCTGAACTGTCCTCTGAGAAGCGTAAGATTGGCGCACCCCCCCCCCCCCTCTGAAGGACTTTAACATAAATACTTCGACATGGGAGAGCCTAGCTCCTGACAGACCCAGGTGGAGAGCAGCAGTCACAGTGGGCAGCAAATCATAATGAGACTTCACGAATAAAAATACTGAAACTAAGAGAGAATCCCGCAAGTTTGAATGTTAAAAATGTGGCCAATTTTTCTGTGCCACAATTAGTTTCATCCGCCACAAGAGAAGCCACACGTTATTTTAATCTTTCATTCTTCTAATTATTCTATTTCGCTGGAGAAATATTCTCTTCTGTGGTTGTACTGGTCGTCGTCAGACATTGAAGGACGAGATATTATTAGCTTACACATTGCTCATTTTGAGACAACGACACCATCTTCACGTTAATCATTTGGTGTTTTCCCACCAAAACTGCCTAGACGTCTCGAAAATTACTCACCTGTCTGGTGGACTGAGTTTCAATTCACGTTTTAAAGTGGGGTGTTGATGAAAAAAACGTCTGATGTTTTATGAGTATACTGTAAATCACATTTTACATTTTAAAGCCACCTTTGTCTAACATCAAAAAAAAATTATCAGAAGCTTATTTTGCAGTGGCTTCTATATCCTGAATTTTCTAACTTTTAGACCCGCATGCAAAGACCTGAAAAGGTTTAACAGATCGATTACCTGTGTATCAGGATTTAGCCACTGACAGGCGTAACTGATCAAGCTGTAATTTAAATGTAGGTCTGTGCATTATTACTTTTCGTGTCTCTACTTTTTATAATGCTAGACAATCAGTTAGAGATGGTCTCAAAAGACGATCGGGCAGCTAAAAGTAAAGATAAAGACCCATTTATTTTAAAAAGGAAGTAACACTCAGGGTCGTCTTAGACGTCACAGTGGGATTGTAGTAAATACCATAGAAACATGAAACAGCTGGCTGTGAATATAAAAGATGCCTGATGACGTGGGAGGGTACACGTAGGGATTACTTTTGTTTTAGACAAAATGCTATTCGTCCGCAAAGGAGGAATTACGTTCTCTGACGTGGGCATATTGGACTATTTCTGTCCTTTAGGATAGATTTTAATCGTTTTTCCTGATCCAGAATTCTAGAATCCAACATAGCATCTGCTGACAAGCCACAACTGAGAAAGCAGCAATTAAACCACCCACTTTTAGGAAGGAATTTCTAAATCGAATTTTATGACTAACAATTTGATTTTCACTTTGGCTCTGTGAACTCTATCACTAAATATTTAAGCAATCTTCTGAAAGAAAAAAAGATGGGGGCTCTCGTGGCCTAGAGTTTAAGGTATTCGCCTTTTATTCAAAAGTCCCGGGTTCGAATCTGGGGAGCAATGGAAACATTATTTTCTAATCTAAAATGGTCTCCTTTTACCTTTTTTCCTGCCCTCTAGCAACCACCCACTCACCTCCTTTGCCGCCTCCTCTGGACTCCTGATTCTTTCTGCAGCCTTCCTGCTGCTACTCCTTGGCTCTTTCTTACTGCTGTCTTTCAGTCACACCCTGATCTTCTGGTAGGAAAGATCTACACCTAGCCCTCACGGGCAAGGGCGAAAGCTCTCGGAGGTCCTGTGTGCAAGTTGAGCACGTTAAAGATCACTCGGTGGTCTAAAATCGATAAGAGTAGGTTTCGGCAGCGACCGGGGCAAAATTCAACATTTTCTCGCTATTGCAAATGTTTAATGTGTCCCGAGCGTTCAAATGACCTTATGCAGTAGTGAGCAAAGTAAAACACATTTTTAAAAATAATTTAAAAGCAACTTTTTCAATGATCTACGCATTAACATCAGCACTTCCTAGATTGGGGTAATTTCTCTCAGTTCAGAATCTGATTGTAAATATGGATATAAAGAAACCAAGGAAAACAGTGCATTCCCAAAACACCAAAGACATCATTTTAAGCCAGTTTCAATGTGATATTCGTCATGCTTTAGCTACGGGTTCTACAATCAAGATAGAAATGCTAAACACCACCATGAGAAGTACTTTAGACCAAAGTGATTCTCTAAAGATGCAATTATTACCAGATCGTTCTATTAGGAAGCTGTTGAACTTGGAAATCAAGACTACAAAAAAGAAAGAAGACCACCCCCCCCCCCCCCCCAATTTCTGTATCTTTGAAAAATGTAAATGAAAGGATCACTTAGGCCTCGCGTGTTTTTTTTCCTGTCTAAATTTGAAATCGTCAGACCATGTTAAGGTGTTTTTTTTTCTAAACTCTAAGAAAGATATTTAGTGAAAGAGGATAAAGCAAGTTTCTATGGACAGCTCCTTGTCTAAAAAACGAACATTTTAACTAGTTTTGGTTAAACCAAGTTTGACCGTGCCAGTGCAAGTTGAGTTTATTTCAAAACAATTCTACTCTGAGCTTTCTGAACATGATATTATTTTAGTCTCTCTGTCGCTCATAATTTGCCGTTTCCGTCTAGCGTAGACTTCCTCATAACACATTCTAAAAAAAGGAGAAATCTGGTTTAGGTCAGATCTGAGCAATAACTTTGTACATACATAATCAATGTTTCCTAGCTCACTCTCCCAACTTACTAGGCAATGTCCTCCGAGAAATACAAGGTTTCTATGTGTTTAGTAAATCTTTGTCTTTGCAAATGTGACACAATATATTCATGTTTAAGGACTCTATGACGGTTTTCCCCAGGTCCTCGAGCATATCATGGGATGATCACAGTTGATGGTACTATCTTTATCATCGGGGGCTTCGATGGTGTGGAGTATTTCAACAGCTGCAGGACCTTTGACCCAGTCAAAAAACTATGGGAAGAGGCTCCTCCCATGAACTGCAAAAGGTACTACGGTTTGTGTTGCTTAACAAGTCGCCTGTGTGTTCCTCCCCCCTCCCCACCTTTCTCCCTAAGCTCTGTTCGTTTAGTCAATAACCATTATCAGATATTGCGCATGGCCGATCCATCTCCGCTAGTTAAAATACTGGAACGATGCCCATTTCAAAATGAGAAACACTATCAAGCATAAACATTACCTCTCTCTTTTAATTTCTTTCATCCTCCTTCTTGTAATACACCACTCACTTCCGTTCTTCCTCACCCCATCCCCATCCACTTTCATCTCCACCCACCTCAACTCCGTTAAGTATTTGGGTGTTGTAATAGACAACAAACTCAATTGGTGTGTCCACACTTCTCTCCTGCATAAAAAAGACTATTTTTCTAAGAAGGCTGATGCATTTTAAACTTGATAAAACATTGATATCCATATTCTATCATTCAACTATTGTATAAGAGCATAGGCGTGGAACATAAGACAAGAAGATAAAGAAATAATAAATCGATTAATACGGAAAGCATGTAAAATGTCAACATCTACATTCCCCTACTTGGATGAACTGTACATAACAGCTGGCACTAAAAAAAATCATTTAATCTTTTTAGACCACAAACATCCCTTGTTCCCTCAAAAAAAAAAAAAGAAAAGGTGTCAGAAATAAAAGGCCTAAGCCTCTGATCTGTAACAAAGAAAGATGCAGAAGGTCATTCTTACCATGATCCATCAAAATTCTTCCATCTTAACAATCTTGTTACAAGTATTCATATGACCTCAGAGCACGCATCAGAATAAAATTGAAAATGTACCTAGCTTAAGATTATTATTGTTTATATTGTTGCTCATTTATATTATGCATGTGATTGTAAACCTGCGTGTGTGTGTGTGTGCGAGTTTGTTTGTGTATGTGTGTGTGTATGTGTCTGTGTGTGTGCATCTGTGTGTGTGTATGTGTGTGTGTGTGTGTGTGTGTGTGTGTGT